CGACTCACAGCAACACATCCAGGTTGAGCTGTTGTTCAGCATCTTAGCTGTAGAGGGCAGTGTCACTGGCCCTCATGTGGGATCCGAACCAGGGCCCTCTGGCGTCCCAAGCCAGTTCTTAGTCAACGCCCCACTCGGCCGGCCCTATAACTTCTTTTTTCTTTAAAGATTTTATGGGAGAATTGGGGAAAGGGAGCAGCCAAGTTGTTATCCTTCAGTCTTAGTTGTGGAGAGTGCAGCTAGCTCAGCTCCAAGTCCATTTGCCATCTGGCCACCCGCAGCTGCTTAGTTCAAGGTGCCGTGATCAATCTTAGTTGTGGGTGGGCGTAGCCCACCATCCCAAGCAGGAGTCAAACTGGAAACCTTGTTTTTAGGAGCATGTGCTCTCACCAGCTGAGCCATCCTGCCACCTGTTGGCAGCTCAGCGGCAGCTCAGCTTGGACACAGTTCACTGGCCCATGTGGGAATAGAACCAGCGACCCTGTTGCTCAGAGCTCGAGCTCTTAACCAACTGAGCCACTCAGCTGGCCCATGTATAACTTTTTTGACTTCCCAAAAGCATAACTACTAATAACCTACTGTTGAACCAAAGCCTTACCGATAATATAGTTGATTAACATATTTTGTATGTTATATGCATTATATACTGTATTCTTACAGTAAAATAAGCTAGAAAAAAGAAAATGGTATTTAGAAAATCATAAGGGAAAATACATTTGCAGTATTTGCTGAAAACAATTTGTGTATAAGGGAACCTGTGCAGTTCAAACCCAAGTTGTTCAAATGTCAACTTTATTTATCTCATTGGATTTTATTGGGTATTACGTGAGCAGCATTGACGACATTAAGTTCATGGAAGATAAACAAAGAACAAAGTATGTGCAAAATTGGTGCTATAAAACTATGGAGAATATATGGCTGTGATTTGGGGACTTTCAATCAATTGCCTGAAGCCAATGTGACAAGACGTGGTCCATAGGTACCTGTTGGATTCCATTGGCTTTTTTGTGGATGTTGTTTGTGTTTGATCCTCAGTGCTTTTGTGTGTGACTTGGGCTTTGAAAATTGAAAAAACTTTATAGTTAATTCAAGTATTTCAGCCCATCATTAATTATGTCAAGTGTTGAAAAGAAAAATGTCAGCAACATCTGAATGAATATCAGACATTTAAATATTATCCTGTAGTTTACTCAAGAAAGTTTTGGGGAATACTATTTCATAAGTTCTTACTTATTTAAAGTTGTTTATACTTCTAAGACAGAGAAGATGTTTATGAAATTTTTGCCTCAGACTTTGAATAATAAAAAGGGTGAGAAGGATCAGCAAAACTTAACAGATAAAGAGCACTTAATAGAAGAAAAAAAAGGTACTTGAGTACCATTTTCTTCTGGCATTAAATATTGTAGAGGGATAAACCAGTTCACACCAGAGCCGAGCAAAGGCAGTGCCTGTGGAGTCCTGCAGTTCTGCGGAACACTGAGGAAAAGCTACCCCCAGGTAGACGCTGTCTGTCACCATGGGTAAAGGAGACCCCAACAAGCCGAGGGGCAAGATGTCCTCGTATGCCTTCTTCGTGCAAGCCTGCCGGGAAGAGCTCAAGAAGAAACACCCAGACCCTTCCGTCAATTTTGCCGAATTCTCCAAGAAATGTTCGGAGAGATGGAAGACCATGTCTGCAAAGGAAAAGTCAAAGTTCGAAGATATGGCAAAAAGTGACAAAGCTCACTATGGCAGGGAGATGAAGAATTATGTTCCTCCCAAAGGTGATAAGAAAGGAAAGAAAAAAGATCCCAATGCTCCTAAAAGGCCTCCATCTGCCTTCTTCCTGTTTTGCTCTGAACATCGCCCAAAGATCAAAAGTGAACACCCTGGCTTATCCATTGGGGATACTGCAAAAAAATTGGGTGATATGTGGTCTGAACAGTCAGCCAAAGATAAGCAACCATATGAACAGAAAGCAGCTAAGCTAAAGGAGAAATATGAAAAGGATATTGCCGCGTACCGTGCCAAGGGCAGAAGTGAAGCAGGAAAGAAGGGCCCTGGCAGGCCAACAGGCTCAAAGAAGAATGAACCACATGAGGAGGAGGAGGAGGAAGAATAAATGGCTGTTGCGTTAATGATGTGTGTGTGTATGCTCAGGCAATTGTTTTGCTAAGAATGTGAATTCAAGTGCAGCTCAATATTAGCTTCACTATAAAAACTGTACAGATTTTTGTATAGCTGATAAGATTCTTTGTAGAGAAAATACTTTTTTTAAAATGCAGGTTGTAGCTTGTTGAGGGCCTACTACATAGTTAGATATTAAGGCTTCTGATGTTAAATGTTACTAAATATTTAATGGTTTCTTTAATTTCTTGTGTGTGGCAGTACAGCAAACCTATAGGAATTAGTATCAATAGTAAATTCTGGGTATTTTAGAATGTTGCATTTTGTTTTTAAAAAGATTTTGTAATAAAATTATGTATATTAAAAAATATTGTAGAGATATCTGAAGATGGTGTGATATTTTCTTTCATTTTAAATAACTTTTTTCCTTTCAGCTGCTCAAGTGATTTTTTTCTTTATATTTAAAATGAAATACCTTTTCTTAAATATGTCATGATGTTGACTGATTTTTGTTAATTTTCTCAGGCACATGATGTCTACTTTTAATTCATTTATTTCAGAAAGTTTTCTTGAGTATAAAATTAAGTATTTGGGTTTTTTTCCAGGGCTTAAGGATTTTCAGCTGGACCAATTATACATATGTTGGATCTGTTTTTTGTTTTACTTTCTACCTATCATTTTCTCTTTCCCTTTTTAACACTTTTGAAATTTCCATTCATTTTTATTGCTTTTCTTATTTCTCTCCCCTGTATTCCTACGTGCTCTTCACATCTCTCTCTCTTTTTTTATTTTTAACCAATTTTATCTTTTAGTATTTCTTTTTCAAGTAGTGTCAGTTCACATGTAAGCTCCTATTTTATTTCATTACTTTTCGATTCTTATCTTTCCGTGAATCCTTTTATTCCTATTTTGTTTTCCTCCATAAAGTTAATGGCTTCATAAATTTTTTATAATTCAAGGCAAAATATTTCATTAGAATTTTCAAGTTTTATGACAGCATTTTTATAATAAGTATTCTTTATCTGGTGAGTTTCACTGATCTTACTTAACATAGAATGAGTTGAATTATCTTGGCCCAGGTATTTGTGGGAAGTTCCTTCAGGAACGTGTTTCTCATGTGATTTTGCTATTGTACACACATCTTGCCTAACTTCCTGAAGTTTCTGGTCAATCCATTTCTGTTCAGTCCTCCCAGATTTTTAGCTCATTTTCTTTTCAAGACAGAGAGTTTTATCACTTCAAAGTGAGTCTCTTATTTAAAATAAGTATTTTTTCTCCATTATTTTTGAAATCTGTACCTTAGGAGTCCTCACTATTTGCTTTCCCCACCTTGCCTTCTATTGACTTCCCATCTTATCATGTCTTGGCAACCCTTATGCATTTTTCTAATATATGGATTATATCAGTCTCCTTATTTTGCTCAAAATAGAGTTATGGATTTTTTTCCTATTCATCTTTTCTTTTGGTATGAAATCCAGAAGTGGGAAATTGCTCTCACAGTATTCTATTTTTAATGGAAGCCAAATCTTATTTCTTAATCCAGAACAGAAGAATCCAGTTATTTTATTGATCTCGTTTAGTTTTCTTTTTTTCTTCTTTTTTTTTTTTTTTAGATGAGCCACCCTGCCACCTATTGGTAGCTCAGCAGCGGTTTAGCTCGGACTGGGACTCGAACCACTGTTGTTCAGAGCTCACACTCGCTCATAACCAACTGAGCCACTTGGCCGCTCCTGATCTTATTTAGTTTTAAAATCAGGTTCCTAAAGTTTGACCACACTTGAAGTTTTCTTGATACATTTTTCTGTTATTTTTGGAAAGCTTTATAATAGGATAAAAAAAGGTAATTTATCATCTTAGTGTCAGATAGTACCTCTAAAAAACAAGAAGTAATTTAAAAACTGGCAGTGATTTCTATAGTTTGCATATTCAACAGGTGTTAGAACAAAGTATTGAGCTGTATACTAGGTACTGTAGTAGGCATTTGGCAAGCATAGATAAAAGGGCAGTCCTTTTTTCAAGTAGCTTAACATCTAGTGGGGAAGGAAATGAACAGATAATGTTCATCTAAACATAGTACTAAGTACCTACTTCGGATGATTGTGTGAGAATTATAAATTAATATTAAGTAAAATATTTGTAACAGTAATTGTCATTGATCAAATGCTGAATAAGTGTTTGCTGTTGTTAATATAATGAAAGGTTAGCACAGAGAAAAATAGCTTATGCACTTAGGGACGGATTTCCAGAAAGAGGAGATGCTTGAACTAAGGATGAAGAATTGCCCAGTCAGATGTATAAGTAGGTGAATAAAGTTTTATACATAATTAGAAAAGCATGGAGATGAGAAAATGAAACAGGCAAACAGAGAAAGATACTTTTTTAGCACTTATTGATGGTTATGGCTAGAAGAGAGAGTAGTAAGAGATAAAGTAATTGAAAAGTCCTGGATTAAGCTATCATAGGACAGATACTTGTTTTGTTTATTACTGTACTCTCAGTTCCCACCACATAGTTTTACACATTACTGAGTTGATAATTGAATTTTATCCTTAAAGCTATGGGCAGCCATTGGAGTATTTTAAGGACAGGAGTAATGTGTTCAGATTTGCATTTTATAAAAATTTCCCTGATGCTATGTGGAAGATAGAGTTGAGGGACAAGAAAAAACGCAGAAAGATCTATTAGGAAGTTATTACAGTAATCCAAGTAAGAAATGGTAAGGAGGCAAACTAAAGCAATGGCATTAAGAATGGAGAAAAGAACAGACTGAAACAGATTAGGGATAGTGTGCATTGGATTTATGGTATGAATAATGAAAAGGGAGACTGACTCCTAGATTTTTGGCCCGAGTGACTATAAGAATAGTAGTACCATTTATTTATTAAGAAATGTTAAAGGCTGGCCGAGTAGCTCAGTTGATTAAGAGCTCGCTCAAGAGTGCGAGCTCTGAGCAACAGGGTTGCCGGTTCAATTACCAGCCTGAACTGAGCTGCCGCTGAGCCACCAACAGGTGGCAGGATGGCTCAGCTAAAAAAAAAAAAAGAAAAATGTTAAAATTGAGGTACCATGAGGTATTCAGATAGAGCCATCTAATAAAATATAATAGCCTGGAGCTCTAGAGAGAAATATGAGCTGAAGACACAGACATGTATACTAGTCAAAAGCAAAGAAATGGATGAGGCTATTAAAAGTATGGCAAGTGAAAAGGTTTCCTTTTTTTTTTAAAGATTTTATTGGGGAATTGGAGGAGGGGAACAGCGTTGGGGAATTGGGGAAGGGAAACAGACAAGTTGAGTTGCTATCCTTTTGTTCTTCAGTCTAGTTGTGGAGGATGTTGCTTCACTGGCCCATGTTAGTATTATCATTGCGCTCTTCCCGGGTGAGGCAGTTGCTCACCGGCCATATGATGGCTGCTCACGGCTGCCAGCCACTCACAGTAACTCACGGTAGCTCACAGCAGCCCACTGCAGCTTCACTGCAGCCTCCACTGTCACCAGCGACTCACAGCAGCCCAGCTCCAGGTTGAGCTGTTGTTCACCATCTTAGCTGTAGAGGGCGCAGCGTCATTGGCCCTCATGTGGGATCTGAACTGGGGCCCTGCTGCTTAGAGCTGGTATCCCAAGCCAACTCTTAACTAATGTGCCACTCGGCTGGCCCGTGAAAAGGTTTCTTGACAGAATTTTTGGTAGCACTGATATTTAAAAGGGGCAACTGAGGAAAAAAGGAGTTGATAAAGAATAAGAAAATCAGGATAATGTGGTACCTGTGAAGATAAGACAGGAAATTTTCAGGGAAACAGTAATCAATACATTTAAATATACAGAGCTGTCTAGTAGAGTACTGACCAAAAAAACCCTGTATTTGACAATTACTACATTATTACTAATAACCCCTTAAGAGTGGGTTCATAGTGGGGAATAGTGGAACAGAAATGAATTTACACTAAAAAAGAATGTAAACTCTTACAGGCATCACTCCAAAGATTCTACCTTTAAGTTACTTTATGCGTGATGTGTGTTAAATTACTTTTATTATAGTAATGGACCTAATGAAATGGACTAGAATTTAAAGACTACATAGACCGCTTCAGAATTTTGTAATGTTGGTCAAGCTTTTTACCTCACGTGTAAAAATGTTATTATTAATAACATGTACCTCATACTAGGTCAATGTAAAGTCCTAGACACAACTTCTAATTCACTTCTAACACATGGGTTTTTTTTAAACCTTGTTCTGTAGCATATTGTTCACAGCAAAATTCTGTTTTATGTCCTTTTTAAATTAAGATTTTAAGATGCATGTTTCATTACTTTTTAACAAATATTTTGCTTAGAGTCGTATTTTTTCATTAACCTTTTCCTTTTAGCAAGTTAAAAAAAAAAAAGAATAGACTTTTTCCTTTAAGCTGTCCTATATTAGATGCTGACCTGACAATTTCTCTGTTACAGAACTTTGCCAGGGTGAAAATGCAGGTAACCATGTCACTATCTTCCTTGGTGGGCACGTCTCAGAATTTTAATGAGGAATTCTTAAGACGTTCTCTAAAGACTATATTGACATATGCTGAAGAAGATCTGGAATTGAGGGAAACAACATTTCCTGATCAGGTCAGAAATGCTATTTTCTAGATCATTAATTGAAGTAGGGTTGTAAATAGACACTTTCCAATTCTTTTTATTTTTTTTTTTATTGGGGTATCGGGGGAAGGGAAACAGACAAGTTGCTATCCTTTTGTTCTTCAGTCTAGTTGTGGAGGACATTGCTTCACTGGCCCAAGTTGGCACCATCATTGCGCTCTTTCCGGGAGAGGCAGATCAGTCGCCGGCTTCTGGACGGCCGCTCATAGCAGCTGCTGGCCGCTCACGCTGGCTGCTGGCTACACACAGTAGCCCATGGCAATCCACCTGCCGTCGCAGGCAACTCACGACAGCCCAGCTCCAGGTTGAGCTGTTGTTTAGCATCTTAGCTGTGGAGGGCAGTGTCACTGGCCCTCATATGTGGGATTCGAACCGGGGACCTCTGGCATCCAAGCCAGCTCTTAACCAATGTGCCACTCGCCCAGCCCTACTTTCCAATTCTTAAATCAAACTTTGTTTTTTATTGGAGGAATCTATATTTTTCTTGCAATCCATATATCATATGCCATAGGTAGGGCCTACTTTTTTTGTTTCAATAAGTCACCCTTCCTTCTTGGAATGTTTAATAAAAAGTATTTAGTTCTGTGAACTTGTAACAAAAAGAAACTTAAACTTAGTCAGTATAGACAAACAAAAACCTTTACAATGAAACATTTTTTTACTTGTTATTAAAAGAGTAATTTGCCTTAAAAACTAAAGTTTCTACAAACTGCCTTTTGGGAAAATCAGAAATGTAGGCGAGAATTTCCTTTTGTGTTCTTTTCTTGTATCCACTATATCCCTATATCTTATTTCTACTTATAGCTCTACTTGTTTCCAGGTGAGAGAACTGAAAAAAAAACAAAAGTCTGCTGAGGAATTTATATAAAGTTTACTATTCCTAATCCACCATACCCCAGCATACCTACACTCTTCAGAACTGTGTCAATATCATATTATTTGTTTTGAAATCTTCAGATGCTCATCTGAAATATCTTCCAAACTAATTTAGTAATTGTGAATGAATGGCAATTGAAGAATATTTTTTCATATAATTCTCTGCTGCAGGTCCAAGATTTGGTTTTCAATCTCCATATGATCCTTTCTGATACTGTCAAAATGAAAGAACACCAGGAGGATCCTGAAATGTTGATTGATCTAATGTACAGGTAGCATTTATTTGATTCACTTATACCTTGTATAATGGGCTTAAGTTAGTAAGACACACAGAAAATATTGGATGAAAAAAATAAACATTGAGATATTAAGTCATTTTCTAACGGTAGATTGAAAAGTCAAAATGTACTTTTTCCAGGCTGCTTTTTCGAACTATGCATAATTGTTTAGTATATTTATTGATTATCAGAAACATGAAGATTTAAAAAAATAATCATAACACATTTAACATGTTGGTGTCCTAGGTGTCCTTCCTAGGAAGACTTCCTAGGAAGGCCCAACACCCATATTTTATATGTAAAAATAGGTCCTTTAGGAAGAAAATACAGTGAATTGTTTTATCATATTAATTTTCCTGACTTTAAATATGGTTGTGCCTATAGAATAATATTTCTAGGGGCACATTTTGAGAATTTTGTAATTCCTATTGTATATTGAAAGATGTTAAGTAAAGCTTGAGATTTTTTCTTTGCCGTATGACCCTCTCTTTTCACAGTTTTGGAGTTCTTTAAAGGCACATATAAAACAAATACTTTCTTTATAAAAAAGATGATGCAATGACACTTCTATAAATCTTTTTTTCCTTGAATATGTAACTCCTTTATGTTCCCATGATGAACACACAAATTCTCATAGTTTTTCTCTTACCGATTATTTTCTTAATGGCCAAATTTTAATATGGCATGTCTTTTTTTAGTGTGTTCCCTCTCTCCTCCCCCCCCCAAAAAAACTGGTATTACCCATCCCATGGGCCCACAACTTCCTATTTCTCTAAGTGTAATCATAGACATTTTCATATCACCCAAAAACTTCTCTTAATAGGTTATGTTAGATAATAGAAACCTTTGTAGGTAAACACTGAGCCAGCAACCTAAACTCCTTTTCAGCTTTGGAAGCAAATACTACCATATTTGCCGGCGTATAAGACGATTTTTTGGCCCTGAAAAATATGCCTCCAAGTGGGGGGTCGTCTTATACGCCAGGTACACTTCAGATAGACTGCCCATAGTGCTTGCCCCGTGCCATAGTGGCCTCCCGATGCCCGCCCACTTCATTCCACATACCGTTCAGGCATCAGCAGCGCTGCTGGGTGTATGCTCGGCTGTTATGCGATTTTGCTGTTATGCGATTTTACCACACTCGCAAAATCGCACAGCCGACCGTACACCCAGTATGATAGCGCAAAATCGCGAATCGCGATACCATACTGGGTGTCTGGTCGGCTGTGTGCGATTTTGCGAGTGTGGTAAATTCGGGTTACCGTATATTTCTTTACATATGCATTGAAGATTCGCGATTTTGCGCTATCATGGTGCCTGTTAGAATGTTGAAGAGCTCGCACTTGCACACTAGTGAGGTCCCAGGGAGATGCTGATGCAAGGGTGGACCAGACTGCTATAGTGACAGGGCGGGCAAACAGGGAGCAGGGACCAATCAAATCAGGCTTTGTATACAGCCAACAGCCAACCACAATACTGCACCATTGTACAGTACAGCATAGAAAATGTCGACCAGTCAAACCCCTATCATCCCTATCATGGCACCAGCCAAAAGAAGGAAGTATGATGCAAATTTTAAACTGAAAGTTATAAACTTTGCTAAGGAAAATAATAATTGTGCTGCTGCAAGACAATATGGAGTAACAGAAAAGATGGTTCGGGACTAGAAATCAAATGAGAAAGCATTAAAGAGTATGCCAAGGGGTAAGTGTGCATTAAGAAGAGGCACCCCACACTGGCCAGAACTCGAAAAACATGTAGCAGACATGGTGGCTCAACATCGCCAAAACGGTTATGTGGTGACACGAAATACAATACGCTTGTTTGCACTTCAGTGGGCCAAATCAAATCTGATATTGTTTTACCTTTTATTTGGTGTGTGGAAGGTGTGCGGAAGAGGGGGTAGTCTTATACGGCGAGTATATAACAAACTCTGTATTTTGAGTGGAAATGTTAGGGGGTCGTCTTATACGCCCAGTCGTCTTATACGCCGGCAAATACGGTAATTGAGAAGAATTTCTGTTCTACTTAGAATTGCCAAGGGCTACCAGACCTCTCCCGATCTGCGACTGACCTGGTTGCAGAACATGGCTGGCAAGCACTCAGAACGCAGCAATCATGCTGAAGCCGCGCAGTGCCTGGTCCACTCAGCAGCACTTGTTGCTGAATACTTGAGCATGTTGGAGGACCGGAAGTATCTTCCTGTGGGGTGTGTAACATTTCAGGTAGGAATCTGCCAGATTTATATTAAATCAAGGTATGTGCTTTTTGTGGTTTTAACTTTTCTCACTGGTGTTCAGATTTATTCATCTTGTAAGAAAAGCATAAAGACTAAAGGTATGCTTCATAAGATGAATTAACATTTCACTATCACTGTCATTAATACATTTTTAGGGAGTACTTTTTGTTAATTCTCTTTCCACATTTTCTTACTTCTGAATTATTGGTGCTAAATTTATTTTCTCCTCCTATGGACTTTATAGCATTTATGGAATGCACTCAGAATATTGAGAATCAGAATTCAGAAGACACTCTTAATTGGCTTTTACTTAATATACCAGATAAACTACCGTTCTCCAGCCTCTGTATAAAATATGCTAACACCATGACTCAAAGATGATAGTTTACTCTCTAGTAAGGTTACATACTTCTGACTCACTAGTTGAATTCTTTTCTTTCCAAATCAGTCATGCTTTGCTTTTCTTCAAAACCTGTTAATGCCAGGTTTGGAAAATTTCAAAATTTAACTAAATATTATGTCCTCTGATGAAATCTGAATGCAAAAAGAAACTAGTTATTGTTTCTCTGAAAACTAAGTCAAATGATTGCCAAACACTTGATAAAAGTGAGTGTCCAAAATAATTGCTGTTGAATTAACTTTGGACCAGACAAATACAAAAGACTGTGAGAAAAGCTCCTAGAAATGTAGCCTAATTTGATCATCTTTTTAAGTTCAAATTTTACTCTACTCTAAAGAACCAAAACTGGAAAAATTAAGTGACAGTTGCATTGTGGATATTTAGTCAAGAGAGATTACGTGGAACTCTGATAGGAGACCATACACAAAAACCTTAGATCTACTTCAAAAAATTTACAAATGAGTATATAACTACTGTAAATGTTTAGGTTAAAATAAAATACTTAAGGTATGTATGCATCATTTCTTTTTTTAGAAATAGTGGTTGATCCCAATATCATTAGGTAAAAGGGCTTTTATTATACCTGAGTTTTTTCATCAACTCAATGTATGTTAGGCAAATCAAAGAGACCATTTTTGTACCTTAATTTCCCTCAGAGGGAGTTTTGACGAGATCAATTAAATTCAACACTGTTTAAGTCTGCTTAGATGTCCTGTGTCATATTGCTATTTTCCTCAGCCCATGATTTAAAAAATTTTTTTTCTCACTTTTATTAATGGAAAAGTTGTCTAGCAATGGTGTTATATTTTATTGTCATCTTGAAAATACAAAATGTTTTTGGAAATTTGTCTTTGCTCTGTGTGTTGACTACCCTTTTTTTTTTAACCTAAACTGATAATTATATTTCACCTTCAACTACTTCTTCATATACATCTTTCATGCTAAGAAATTAAATTTATTAAATGGATTTCACAAACCTTTTCATTTTTACCCCTAGAATATTTCATCTAATGTTTTAGAAGAGTCTGCTGTCTCAGATGACGTGGTATCTCCAGATGAAGAAGGTATCTGCTCTGGAAAGTACTTTACTGAATCAGGACTTGTGGGATTACTGGAACAAGCTGCTGCTTCTTTCTCTATGGTAGATGACTCTTGTTCATTCTCTTTCCACAGTTACATACCTATGAATTATTAGGGCTGTGTATATTTAGTCTCTCAGCCTAAGATCCTGCTTTTTCTTTATGACAGTTTTCTCTAAGTACCTTAAGAACTATCTAGGAACAAATTTTCTTCCTAAATTCATCATTGCTTACTCCTTTTTGTCTTACTCTGTCACTTCCGCTAGTGTTTTTTATTTGCTTGTTTATTAACCAACATTTACTCTATAACAGATTTTTTTTTAGTTTACAAAACTTTTACTACCAAACATTTTCTAAAACCCTAAAATTCTATTTAAAAAAATAAAAATAAAAAGCCCCTGGATGATTTAAGTTCCTGTTTGGGTAGACTGACATGGCTGTAGATGTAGAACTTGTCTGGTGGGTGAAAGGGAGGCTCTTCTTTTGAGTGTGTTGAGCATTTTCCTGGTGCTCAGGAAAGCTATGGCCGCTCATCCCATTGGTTGCATAGTGAGCCCTATTAGGTAGGGGTAGGGGGCCAGGCGCTTGTTTATCAGGAGCTTTATGAACTACATCCTAGATCCCTTGTCTGACTTAACCCTGCTATGCTATAACCCCGTCTGTGTCCCTCCCCATCTGTATGGGAAGAATTGAAGCAGCCACATGGATCTGAGATAGGATGTTTATTCATGGAAAGATAGCTAGCCAAACCCATGCTTACTTTCTTGTAGTGTGGTGGATAGGGTCACCTACTCTCTGTGACTTTTCTCCTGAGTGTGCAGTATTTCAGCACCAAGGTTTAAGTTCATGTTAGCACAAGAGGGAAGCGTGAGGTGATATGCAAGGCTGCCCCCCTTCCCCACTGAACAGCTATTGGGAATTGGTACGTCTTCTGGCCTTAACCCTACCCTGAAATCTGTTGATTGAGAGTATAGATTTAGAAGGCATACAGCTAGAATTCAAACCCTGGCTCTGCTACCTTAGTAGTCAAAGCACTTCAGACACAATCTATCAGTGCCCCACTTTCCTTATCCATTAAATGCATCTAATAATAGTACCTACCTCATAGGAATGTTACCAGGATTAAATGAGTTACTATATGTAAAGTGCTTATCATAGTGCCTGGTTCCCGTTAAGAACTAGTGTGTTTGGCGTTGTCATCCTCTTCATCGTTATTGGCACTTAGAACCAGCTCACTTAAATATAATGATTAAGACTCTAAGGATATTATGTGTTGGTCCACTTTAAAATTTCCTGTCTTTGAGAACCTTGTTCTTATTTCTCCCCCTACATCTCTGCCCCTTGCGTTTCAATTTATGTGATATGAATTAGCAGAGGGAAAAGGATTTTTTCTATTAATGGAAAATTTTAATGAATATACATACACTGTGTGTGTGTGTGTGTGTGTGTGTGTGTGTGTGTGTTTGTGTAATTTTAATTCATAGTAAGTCAATTTAGATTGTGGTACAGTGGCCTATATTACAGAATTTCTTTTGCAGTAGCATGTAATTATGAATTTAATTCTTTTTCAATTAATTTAATTTTAATTAAAATAATTACTGGGGCATTTTAGTTGCACTAAATATATTTCACTATTATAGTTACAGTGATTGCATTGTATATATACTCCTGTGAACTGACTAGAAAAATATAAGAACCATGTGTTTATTTCCTTGGGAAAGTATGTTTGCAGATTTGTGAGGCAATGGGAACTCAGTGGCTGTTGGAAAATTTTTTAAAAAAACCTCTCTCTTTCCTCACCAAAGCCACCAATCCACGATTAATAAGAACGAGAGAATGGAATAGCAGTACAAACACATTTTGTCTTTCACTCTGAGTATACCAGTGCAACCCTTGCCAACACCACTGGCCAAGTAGCCGCGAGTGGAATAAAATCTGGTGGCTCAGAACCTTTTCATCTTTTGTTAAAGATCAGTGATTTTTGCACAGGAGATTTTCAGTAAGATTTCCTGTGCCAATTTAATATTTTGGAAAAGTAAACAATTATAGTTTCCTAGGTTGCCAAAGGTTACCTGATATCTGTGTAAACCAATGTAATAATTGGATTTCTTTTATTCCTCTGCTCAGAAATAGTTTCTGCAAAAGTTTATATGCATATATAAGTACACACATAACACACCTTAGTCATCTAATTACTGAATAGATAGAAGCAGAATATCCAATTCAAATTATATAAAAATATAAATATGCATATATGTATGTATATTAAATGCACACATGCATACATACATGTATACCCATCCATCAATCTAGAGGAGACTACATTGTGCAAAGTTCTTTTATTAAGCTTTAGTAAAATTAAAAATTGGAACTGTTTCTTTTTAGGCCTTCTTGAAAAGCTTCAGTGGTATTGTGGTATTATCTTAGCAGAAACATTGTGAATTCATAAATTGTAAACATTTACTTTCTTATTGATGTAAAAGAAAACAATACCTTATATCATTATTCTTATAGGCTGGCATGTATGAAGCAGTTAATGAGGTTTATAAAGTCCTTATTCCTATTCATGAAGCTAATCGGGATGCAAAGAAACTATCCACAATTCATGGTAAACTTCAAGAAGCATTCAGCAAAATTGTTCATCAGGTAATGATTGCAATTTCTAGCTTCAGTATAAACAGAGAAAACTGTCTAAAAGTATTAGTGTTGCTTTGTACTGATGTCAAACTAGATTCTGTGAAATGACCATTTTAATCAGGTTACAAATGAACAGTGTCAGAATGATGGTTCAGGGCCAAAGCAAGGCTCATTAACACAAAATGAATTTACCTAAAGTAGATTATGATCATCATAAACGTTCCACATAGCTTTTCTTCTTTTTTTTTCACTTTTTTTTAGTTATCACTAGTTGCCAAATTTTTTCAAATTGTTAGTTACTTTCTGTTACACGGTGTGTTATAATTATGAATCTGATTTTTAAATGAATTTCTATTCCTTTGCTGCCAAAAGAGTTTTCATGTTTACATTTTTTATTAAATGATATGAAAATTTAATAAACCTCTAATATTTTTAGTGATTTAACTGTTTTTCCTAGATGTTTCCATTCTCGCATCCTTTGATAGATTTCTAATATGAAAATAATGTATAAAACGGTTGTCTTATGTTTATTCAATTATAACAGTGTGACTTCCATACTTGTTTATAGTTCGTGGAAATCACATATTATCACCAAAATTAAAATCGAAATCCACTTGGTTTAAAAATGAAGTAGACTACTGGCAACTGATGTCCCTGAAACTAAATCCCTGGCTCTATTGAAATACTCGGAAATATCCTGTTGAGCCTCCTCCCTCTCCACTTTTCTATTCCCTTTCCTGTGCTGCCCGTGCTGTTATCTGCTACTGCCATCATCTAAGAAAGAAGTGGAGTCTTGAATATCCACTTCTGTATTCAGTACTAGTCCTACTTTATTGTCTGTCAGCTTGACCTCTTTCTTGCCATGGACTAAGCTGTTCTAGATGAATTGATATAATCTAAAAACTTTAACAGTCTTAAAATAGGGCTGCTATACTGTTAAGCCAGAATGTTATTGTCATCTACCAAAATATTGAAGTTGCAAAAGATTTACTGGATTCATGATCATAACAGGTGGGTCTTTTTTATAATCAGTTATACTGTCAAAGGAATCTCACCCCAGCTTCTAGAACTGTAAATTGCAAATTATACATGTATGGTCTGGAACATCTAGAGCTAGTAGATTCCAAGAAACTTTCATCCATTTGTATCAAAGGCATTTGAACAAAATTGCAATTTCTATTCCAATTTACCCTGGGTAGTTCAGTCAAGTACAATTCAGTTTATTTAGAGATCTAATTTAGACACACACATGGAACAAGCAGTTGGGTATCTTCCCCCCAAAATTTGTACTTTTATTTATAAAGTTTTTAAAAGGTGAAATTATAGCTACTAGGTTTTGAACAAGCAATTTATAAAAGTATCAGAGGTCTTAAGTGAAAGAATATGGTGTTTAAAAATATCCTGGTGTCTTCTATTCATGGAGAAGAATTTATGGTATACGGTATACAGTGCCTTTACACTGCTGAACTCCCTTTGGCGTTTTTTTTTTTTGGTTGTTCTTTTTAAACAGTTTTTTTTTTTTTATGACTTGCCCTTTTTTACTTTTTATTATACAGAGTACTGGCTGGGAGGTAGGTAATGTTTTAGTTAGTTAAAGACACTAATAGATTGATTTGATCAGATTTCTTATGCCAATGCTTTGCCCACATGTGCTAGCTGTGGGCATTCTGTTGCTATCTGCTATCAACTGAATTCATTAACCAAAGAAATTTTGTTAAAATACTGTAAGCTATTGTTTTTAAATTATTATTAAGAGGTTGTAGGCAGTGCATGGAAATCCACATGTTCCACTAATGAGATTCTTTGGTAAATGAGCCACTTTGTCATCACTTTAGTTTGTTTTTATCCTTTGAAGCATTTTCTTTCATCAACATTTACACAAAGATTTCTTTTTTTAACCATATTGTTTCACCTCATTTTACAGAGGTCGATTTATGTGTTATTGCTCAGAGGTGTAAATAGAAAATACTATATTTTGTCTGATCTAAGATGCCATCCCATTATTTTATATGCCTTTAAGAAAGAAAAAAGAAATTTGTGTATCGAACCACAACAGCCTATCAGTTGAAAGATGAATGCCAATTACAGAGATATTAAAATGTAGGCCAAAAAAAAAATGTGCATCTTAGAATTGATGAAAGAATCTGTTAATTAGATCTTGAGTCACTTCACCTAGAGTATAAGCACTACTAAGGAGAGAAATTTAATTCTCTTTTGTCATTTAAATTTGGGGGGGAGAAGGATAAAGAGATTGAGAGAACTTGAAATTTAATTTGACCTCATTCTGACTGTTCGATAACTAGTGTTTAATGAAGACTATTTGTGCTTCCTTTTATGTAGTAAGTAGTTGGTTAGGCTTATAAAAAGTTACATGTAAATCAAATCTTACCTGAAAAATGCCAGGAAGAAATTGATTGCCATTGTTTTTAAATTTTTCTATAAAGGAAAGAATTCTATAAAATGTGCCCTAATTTATTTTGATGAGGTAAAGCAAGGTATTAATAAATCAGATTTATTTAAAGCTAGGTGTATTTGTAAAGTTAGTCTGCTTTGCCTCTCACTTGGTAGTCAAGTTTATGTTGCCTGAACAGCTTAGGCTTTCTCTGTTTGGTTTTGCATTGCAATCCTTGTCTTGGGACCCAAATAGAAAACCTTAGGAACAAATGTTACTACTGCATTGTCTTCCATTTCTGAATTGGTTCCTACCTTTTGCTTTTGTACTTTTACATGCACCTTAATTCTCCAGATTAAATGTGTATGATCTTATTAATATATAATATAGAATCCCTCATTTCTGTAGCCCAATTAAGACATATATAAAGAGATTTGTCATGGTTATCAATGAGTGATAAAGTTCCTTATGGATTTCCTAACATTAAATGGAATTAGCTGAAAAGTAGGTATAAAAGAAGATATATTGAAACCTCTGAGCAGTTTATTACTAGTCTGCTTGATGCTAAATCGACCCCTGAAAGGTATGATTTTCACTGGTTATGACATTAATATCATTCTGTCATCATGTTTATTGCATGGTAAAAGTCACACAGGCTTTATTTTCTTGTTTAAATTCTTGTCACTACCTTTCACTGGACCTTTAGCTGTATAGCATCTAAAATTGTTGCACGCTTGTTTTTTGCTTTTTCCTTGTAAAACTTTAATGGATGCTTGCATTTTAAAAAATGTGTTTGCTACCATTTGCTGCTTATTTGTTTTGAAATTTCCCTAATTAAAATGCTTTCTGTTTTCTCTTCTCTCTTGCCCCTGGTTGCTGACCCTACTCCCTACTTTTACTATTGTCTCTTGTGGTAAGTTCCTATCTTGTGAATATTTTTCTTTTTGACTCAGAAAACTTCAGTAATTTCATTTTTTCTAGAAACTATGTTTCCTAGCTAATTTCCTAGTACTATTCTCAAAGAACTCTCACAGTAAGGATAATTTATACATTATATAGAAAGTCTTTGAATTGATAACTCACTGTTTGATTTATAGGAAAAGCCCTCTGGGCTTATATATTAGCAATGTGTTTCATTTTTCATTATGCTCCTTGATTTGGTATAAATTATTTGAGTTGGCAAAGCTTTTGGGGGATGTATGTGTGGCTTTGTGTGTGTATGTAAAAGATAACTCTAAAACCTAACACTTAGCAATTTGGTAACGTGTTTACCATGCAAAATAACAAGTCATGAACACCTCATGAATCATGGTGGCTGTTAATCTGCTGTGCCAGTTTCAGTACCTTAATAGCTATTCAGTGGTCACTTTTATTTTCTCTTTTCCCAAGTCCATTTTTTAAAATAATAGGAAATAAAGTGTGTGTTAAGAACTTGGACTAAGGTGTCAGATATATTGGACTTTATCTCCCAGCTCCATCATAGTGAGGTCAACACAATGTGACCTTGGGCAATCTACCTTTCCTCAGCTCTAAAATAAGGGGGGAAATTAGTGGCACCTAGGCTACCGCAGAGTTGTGATAAGAATTAACATAATGCATGTAAACTGGATAGCCAGTGTCTAGCACATATTAAGTACTCAAGAAATATTGGAGATTACTATTTTTGTTGCTACTATATTTATTATTATCATCATTACTCTTACTTGAAATCTTAACACAATTTGGTTAATAAAATCTAACAAGTGTTATGTTCCGAAATTGAGATCTTTGACTAAATAAACTGATAGTAGTGTATGTGTTCTTCAAGAGGAATAGATCTAATAGAAGGGAAGGGAATTACCACTGTGTGAAATACTAGTATGCCTATATGGAAATCAGTTAACTTGAAGGAAGCATAGTGGAAGACAGTTGGGTGAGGATAAAAGAAATTAACCTCTTTTATATATTCTGGAAATATATAATTCGCCCAACAGAATGTTTCTTATGAAATAAAGATAAATAGAACTAGAACAGGTTTAAGATATATTTGTCATAAGAGATTTCAACCATTAGAGACATGAATAGATGAGGAGGTGGATTTCCTTGTCTGGGATATAGTTTTATCACCCATAAGATCGTGGACTCAATAAGTAGAACTGCTAAGGAAGAATAAGTTGAAGTGTGGGAATGATGAGAAGTTCAAAGAGTTCATAACAGTAAAGGAAGACAATGTTAGAAAAACATAGGCTAGATTATAAGAAGTGATTTAAAAAAAAAATTTCAGCTGACTGAGTGGCTCAGTTGGTTAAGAGCTCGCTCTAGAGTTTGAGCTCTGAGCAACAGCGGTTTGATTCCCAGCCCGAGCTGAGTTGCTGCTGAGCTGCCAACAGGTGGCAGGATGGCTCAGCTAAAAAAAAATTAATTAAAAAAATTTTTTTCAAAGGAAAAACAAATATATCCTATGGTCCAAACTCTGAAGAGGAAATAAAGATGAAGTGATGTTTTTCCTGAGATGAAGCTATGTGATTATGCTTTCATGAACCTGATAGGGTTTGACACTAAAGAATTCTAAGTTGAAAATAAATTTACTCAGACTCTTAACTTTCCTTCCTCTGCTTCTCCCTTTCCAACTTTAGTACACACACATTCATTTTCAGTTCCAGTAACTCCTATAATTACCTCTTTGAGCTTATGGCCTCCATTTTCTCCCTTACTCTCTGCAGCCACATTGGCCACCTTCCTAGTCTCCAAACATACTATGTAGGCTCCTGTCCTCAGACCTTTGCACTGACTCTTTCCTCTGTCTGAAAAGCACTTCCCCAGAGATCCACATGAATAATGCTCATACCTCCTTTACATTTTTGCTCAAATGTCACTGTGATAAGACCTATCCTGACCACCTTCTGTGTCTCTTGTTCACTGATTTATCACAAATGTCTGGAACAGTTTGCTGACACATAGTAGACACTCAAATATGTGAATGGATGAATATATAATTTCCCTTACATACATTCTGTTTCATGACTTTGTATCCTCCTTTCTTTTCCCTTTATTTTTCTGTGCTGCACTGTTCTTGCCTTTCCTCCCATACCCACTGTTCATTCTTTGAGTTGTAGAACCTGTCTGTGTGTCACCTCTTGTGACCTGGCTCCAACAGGATTAATATTTCTCTTTACCACTCTTTAATTATAGCACATAACCCTTTGAATTGTAATTATTTGAATACATTTTTTACTCAAGAAGCCAGATCTTATTTTCCTATTACTGATGAATAGTGGCTAACACGTTATAAACACTCAGTTTTTTTTCCTTGAGGAAGCAAATAAAGTTTTAAATGGCTGCTCAGTAGTTCAGTTTCAAGCTGCATTAATAAAATTCAAGTCCAGATCTAGGAAGACAGTAAGCCCACTGATCCCTTCACTGATCATATCATATGAGCAGTATTATGTCCATCTCTGACATACCACACTTTAAAAGTGGCATTAGAAAAATAATAAAATGCAAACAGGATAGTAATTACTGTCATATGAAGATGATGGAGAAATGGAAAGTTTAGCTAAAGGAAACAGATCCTAGTAGCTGTCTTCAAATATTTAAAAAGCTACAAAATATTGAAGATTTGGAATAGTGTTTTAATTTGGAAACCTCTGAGAGGAGTACAGCCGGAATAACAATATTTTAATATTTGTGGTTTTAAAAAGAGGACTGTATATGTCTATGTGTATATGACATTTTTGAAAAGTAAAAATCACAAATTATCAATTTTCTCAAATGTCTTGTATTTTCCATGCAGTTTTCATTCCTTGATTATGTCAAAAATTTGCTCTTGTTCCATTGCATATTGATGGTTTTAATCAGAATTTTGGTTGAATATATTTAATCTATCTTGAAAGATTTCCTTTGCTATAGAGATCATTTAATTTTTATATCTGTTAAATTTTCAAATAAAATAGCTTGTGAAAAAAATCTTAATTAGAAACCTCAAGTTTAACTCCAAAGACATTTAAAAAAAAAACTTTACTTCTTCTGGATAAAAATGTGGGGATATTTTTAGTCACTGTACTCTTTTTATTGTTATTATAAAACTGCTAAATTAAGGATCAGAGTTTCCCATTTTGCTTAACTATCTGTGACATTTATGACTTATTTTATATGCCCTTTTGTCTTTTCAATAAGAACCCAATTTAGGAAAACTAAGTAGAAATGTCTTTCTATCTAAATTGAAAGAATTGCATAGAAAGCTTTCAACTATGTTATCCTTATTGAAGGGATTTGTTTTCAAATGCACTGTGTAAGAGTGACTTAGTGTACTTCAATACTGGAAATGAATGTGTGGTTAATGTATGCAGTGGGTGGTTTGGGGACTGTAGAAAACCAACTCGTCTCAACTCTTTTTTTAATCTTTCATTCTTATATTTTTTTTCCTGTTTTTATTCCATTTTTAGTTACTCTTCCACATGTAAATGTTTTTATTGGCACAGGGATACTGATTGTAAATTTTTGCTTTAGTGCTTCTATTGTAGATAGTCTTGACATTTACAAATTGTCTACTCTATGCCAGGTGCTATATACTTGCCTCCTAACTTTTATGATTTCATTTAATATATGCAAAGAGATTATATAAAGGCTAATGCTAATTTTAAGTGTTAGTGTTGTTTTTAAATTTAACGTTATTTAGTATGCTCTAATTTCAGGAAAATTAAAAGACACAGTTCATGTTATTCCAACCGTCTTTCCTAGCAATAAGGAAAATGAGTGAATTTATTTCAAAAAGAAAAACAAATATCCTGGACTTAAGGCATAGACCAATGTGAAGTAGTCACTTGGTACAAACCTTGAAAAACATATACCACATATGATTTAGTCACTTGGTAAAAGCCCAGTTACATAATGTTATTTGTTAGAAATAATGAAAAAAGAAAGATTATTACTTTGTTTTTTACCTTCATTTGAGAAATAATAAAATATTTTAATTTTGAATTAAAACTTTTTGCAATGTTTTGGAAATGTTATACTAAAATAATTTAAACATGTGAACAACAAAAAGACTTTGTATTAAAGTTTTTTTATTTTCCTAAACCTAGGATGGTAAGCGGATGTTTGGCACATATTTTCGTGTTGGTTTTTATGGAACCAAGTTTGGAGATTTGGATGAACAGGAATTTGTTTACAAGGAGCCTGCCATAACCAAACTTGCAGAGATATCTCACAGATTGGAGGTGAATGCTGTGGTGGTTCATAAAATGTCTTTAAATTGTAATGATGAATAGACTTTCAATCCAGGTCTAATCATTTAATAAGCCAGATCCTGCCAAATACACTACTCATTTAGAGTATAAGGATTTTTGATAAGTACAGTAATACTCTTTTGACTCTTTCAAATCTTTTATGGCAACAGTAAAATAATACTATTAACTATTTTTTTCAGGCGCTATTTTCATACATATTTTAGAAAGCCCTACACCCTTTAGAATTACTCCATATTTATGGAGAAATATCTAGTATTATCACATTTTGTAGAAAAAGGCATAAGGAATTGAGTAGCACCTCGTGATGGAACTAGAACTCCCCCCAAAATTTCTGACCCAGAACTTTATTTCTTGGGCCTAATTGAGTCCCAATGAAATATCTTTAGAATTTAAAAGCCTGAAATCACACTTTCAAAACACCTTGTAGAATTCCTTAACCTTTAGTTATACTTCCACATATAAATATTTTTGTTGGCACAGGGATACTAATTAAATTTTTGCTTTAGTACTTTTGAATAGTCTTAATTTTTACCATAAATGATTAATTTTTATATTTATGAAGCTAACCAATCTTTCCTGCTAAAGTTATCCTTTCAACCTTTCTCTGTTCTTGTCACTCAAAATGTGGTTCAGGGACCAGAAACTGGCATCACCTGGGAGACTGTTTCAAATGCAGAATTTCAGGCCCTTATCCTAGACCTTCTGAATTAATATCTGCATTTTAACAAGATCCCCAGGTGATTTGTATTCACACAGAGTTTGAGAAGCACTGCTTTAGGCTTTTTTTAAATTCTCAGCTGATGTTAATTTCTTGAATGTTATATTTTTACTAGTGACTTTATTGGGCTCAACTTCTATAAATTGGCTTAAACTGTGACTTTTGGTTTTTCAAGAGGCTTGGTAAGTCTCGGAAAATGTTGAGACAGGATTTCCCAAACTTAATTTAAAAAATTATCTTTTGGGGAAGAGTAGGGTTTCTCCTTAGAGGATTCAGATTTAATTTTTCCTTTCAAATAGCTCCATTCATTGCCCATGCTGCCACTCAGTGCCATATGGAAAAGTCACTACATTCTTGACTCAGGGTTGCCTTTTCAAAATCTAAACCTGTACAGTACTTCAACAAGTCAATGCTTTTACTTAAAAATTCTGGAATATTACATTAAATTATTCAATGATGTCTTGCTCATCGACCCATGTCTGCAGGACATCAGGCCACATCAAATTCAATAAAAGATCCTATACATCAAAGATACTGAATTTATTTTGTTTATGCATTCTGTTCCCTTTTTGTTTTTCTTGAGGACCTCTTGTGGAATCCTGTATTTTTATTGAAGAAAATAGTTATTTTCTTCTATTTTATGTTATTTAAAGTGAGTAGATGGGGACAACACCAAATAAATATGGACTGAGACCATGCCAATTTGTAGACTAAAGACAATTTTTGTGAACCTAAATAATTATTACTTTGTAATTATTGTGGACATGATTGTACAAGAACTTACTAAATGGCCTAATTTTACTCAGGAGCCTCCCTCAGGGGCCTTCTCTGTTCTCTAGTACTGTTACCTTCACGTAAAAGATTTATTTTTCTTTATTGTAGGGATTTTATGGAGAAAGATTTGGAGAAGATGTTGTTGAAGTAATCAAGGATTCTAATCCTGTAGACAAGTGTAAATTAGATCCTAACAAGGTATGGATGATAGACTGTAATGACACATAGGCATATCTTTGAGGCTCTATGATTTTGTTGGAGAAAGACTGAATGATGATTTAACAGTGAGGAAATGAAGGACTTTTTCCTTTCCCAGGCATATATTCAGATTACCTACGTGGAGCCATACTTTGACACATATGAGATGAAGGACAGAATCACATATTTTGACAAAAATTACAATCTTCGCCGTTTCATGTACTGTACACCCTTCACTTTAGATGGGCGTGCCCATGGAGAGCTTCATGAACAATTCAAACGGAAGACCATTCTGACTACTTCTCATGCTTTTCCTTATATTAAGACAAGGGTCAATGTCACTCACAAAGAGGAGGTAAGTTCACAAATGGGGAAACAAATATATTGGCGACATGTGAGAACCCTCATGTGGTAACATACTAGAACTTCACCCATTTTTGAGTCATTAACTTTAGACTAGTTTTCTAAGTCACTAGCTCACCCTCAGCTTTTGCTTTAAAAGGGTGATTTTTGTTTTTCATTAAGGCATCCAAAATTTGGGATTTTATTGTTAGATAAAAATTTATAATTGGTCTTCACTTTTTTCATAATTGATTATATTTAAAGCTCATTAAATAGTTTTTTTATCTGTACATTGACCTAATAGATGTTATTTCACCCAGATCATCTTAACACCAATTGAAGTTGCTATTGAAGACATGCAGAAAAAGACACAGGAGTTGGCATTTGCAACACATCAGGATCCCGCAGATCCCAAAATGCTTCAGATGGTACTCCAGGGGTCTGTAGGCACAACAGTAAATCAGGTCAGTGCTTTTTGCTAGTACTGTTTGAGTTATAAATGGAATTTGGAATGATTTTATTATTATATTTTACAAAGATCACAAGGGTGCCTAATCAAGTGAAAAAGATAAGTGTTAGAACTGGTTACAAAAGACACCAAAAGTATAAGTGAAGGTAAACTGAAAAACAAAAATTTTTAGTATAATCTCAGTTGTTAAGGTTTTTACATGTGCCTTCTACAGTGCCTATGTTTTTCTACCTATCTGTTCTTAAACATTCTTGTAAGAAGGAATTGATTCACTTAAAATAGCTTTTCCTTTAAAAGCTTTTACTGAAAGATTGTGCTCCAAAAAGGAGGGTTCATTTTCAGAGCTGTGTACAAGCATGTGATCATGTACTCTCTTAGATACTCCCTGATGTTATTTTCTCCAGATTTCCCCAATGAGCTGTGAGGAGTAAATAGGTAATGTTGAATCATTTTGAAAATGTTGATAATACACGGTGTGATCAAACAATACAGTGAATGTT